CCTTAACCTGCTGGGCTCAGGAGATCCTTCCGCCTCAGCTTTCCAAGTAGCTGGAACCACAAGTGAGTGCCACCACACTGCCACCATACCCAGCTAAGTTTTTGATTTATTATAGAGATGAGATCTCGCCAAGCTGCTCAGACTGGTCTTGAACTCATGGGCTCAGGCAATCTTCTCACCTAGGCCTCCCAACTCCCAACGTGCTGGAATTATAGGCGTGAGCCACCATGCCCAGCCCATCAAATTATTTTCTAAGGGACTCTCAGCTTGAATAGCTTTAACGTTTTTCATTCTAAATACTGGAATATAAGATTTACAAGACACAAGGCAAGTAACTAAAAAAACAAACCAAAAAGATATCCTCAAATACAAAGTACAAGGGAGTTAGGAACACCTCCTCTGGCACCTATGAGTGGTCTATAAAACCTGAATGAGAAGAAGTCTCACTCCTGGCATATGATCTGGTATGACTTACCTATGAGCACGTCTGCTCCAAGTTCTCATTTTCTCACCAGTCCACTCATAGAGGAATGTTGACTGTGGTTGACAGTGGTGTACCTCAGAGAGTTCCCAGAGCAAAGAGACTTCTGGCAGCTGCTGGGATTTCATTCGGGGAACAGCCCTACTGATGCTGGCCAGCTGCAAGCAGTGAGATCCCAGCAGAGTCAAGAAATTGTTCCAGTAGAACTAGACTGGCTGCTTTCTCTCACAATCAATCAGAAATGGGAGCCAGAGGGTTGGGAGAAAATGGAGTTTTTTCTGTAACCAAGGAAACAGGGAGCAAGTCTGTATTACAATTAGAGCTTACTGAAAGAAACACATTTTATTTCAAGTATTTATAACCTAAAATACAATTTTTATTTATTTTATTTATTTGAAAGCAGGATTTATTGAGAGGACATAAAAGCTCCCACAGTGGGAGGGGACCCGAGGGGGGTTGCCTATTATTTATTTTTTGGGTTAGAGTCTCACTCCGTTGCCCAGTAGCATGCTCATGGCCACCCCAGTGTCAACCTGCTGTCCTTCCACCTCAACCTTCCAAGTAGTGGGAACTACAGACGCAGGCTACCATACCCGGATAATTTTTTGATTGATTGTAGAGATAAGATCTTGCCAAGTTGCCCGGGCTGGTCTTGAACCCCTGAGCTCAGGCAATCCTCTCTCCTCGGCCTCCCAAAGTTCTGAAATACCTGTAATAACATGCTTGAGACACCACACCCAGCCAGCTAAAATACAATTTTTAAATCTATTTTAACTAATGACTAATCATGTCTACATATAACAGAGCCATTGCTTAGAGTCTTTTTTTTTTTTTTTTTTTTTTGAGTTGGAGTCTCACTCTGTCGCCCAGACTGGAGTGCAGTGGCCGCTCCCGGCCACCGCAGCCTCGACCTGCTGGGCTGTGGCGATCCTTTCACATCAGCCTTCCAAGTAGCTGGAACTACAGGCGTGCATTCCCACGCTTGGCTAATTTTTTGATTTATTGTAGAGATGAGGTCTTGCCAAGTTGCCCAGGCGAG